TTTGATTCTATAATAATCTTTCAGCAAATGAAATTGCTAGGAGAAATAAATTTGAATACTGAAGGTGCAGTTTGTTTGCTACTCCATTCCCATTCTCTCATGTGAACATGGTAACTTATCGCCGAGGGAATTGTAGTGGTGATTTCAATGTAGAAATTGCTAGGAGTTGATGAAATTCCAGTTCGTCCTTTTTCTCTTTCAGGGCATATGAATGTTTTCCTGAGATTGCTACCGACTGCTTAGGGCAAGAAGTGTTGTGAGTTTTTGTCAAAGTCGTTTTTTTAGTCACAATTGATGCTGCCAAAGCTACTTTGAAGTACAATGTTGCCGTCAAATGTGCCACAATTACTCCTGACGAAGCTCGAGTCAAAGGTAAAATAATGCAAAACTAGTAAAATTAAGGGTTCAATCACATGTTTACTGTTATAGAGTTCAACCTTAAGAAGATGTGGAAGTCACCAAACGGCACAATCAGAAATATTTTGGGAGGTGAGTTTTGCAATTTTTTGTTTCAATACATCCTATTTTTATCCTTTTTGGCATTCGTTTGTGTAGGCTAAGAACGCTCACGCAATCTTTGAGCACTTTATAACCCAGCTTTCCGCACTATATCACAGACATCAGACTCGACTTCCATAATAGAAAAAGGCAATCGGAGTACCCAGTCACTGCTCTGACCATCGCAGCGCGCATTGCTTACTACGGACGTAACCTCCAAGTCTATCCGCTTTCTATCCGTTCGCTGGTGCTTGTCAGAGCCAATCCGCCACTCTGGGGTATGAACTCTGCTCACCTTGACGCGTGCTCTCCAATCATGAGCTTTCATCGGTTCCATTCCTATCTCAAGATCGTACAATGTCTCTGAGATTTTCGTAACCTCTAAGCTGCTTGGAATGCAATATGATGTTTTGTCAGTCGAAGTCGGACCCGCGTAGTGCACACGCCGGTTAGTGAGTTTTCATAGCAAACTGTTTCACCACTCTGATGAAGTAATCCGGGCTCACTTGAACTCATTTTCCCGCCTCTGGGTTACTATGAAGCTGAAATACGTTTTTTTTTTCGGTAACGCCTATTCCAGTGTATGCTCGATACTAACCTTCACCCATGGGTGCCCCGCGCTTCTCAGGTGATGCCACACCTTCCAAATCTAACTCTCCCTTTTCATATGGTTCGTCAGATGATCTTGAATTTGTGACCTTGGTGTGAAGATGTCCTACCGTTAGAATCTTTCGAGATTGAAGTTTTGTATGCTTCTATTTTGCTACCCCTCCCCCTCTTACATGCGGAGCTATCACAAGGTGGCTGGGTTGTGGTTCAGGGACAGAAGGCGACTTTCGCTTATGGCAGCACGAAAGTTTTCGCTGCAGGAACCCTACGTCACCCCTGACCTATGTTTCCTGTTGCACGAAAGTTAGACAGAGCAGCCTTTTTGGCTGAACTGTGTGAGCAATCAGTTGACACCTTGGGGTTACTCCCACAATAAGGCCAGCGATTACGGAAATTCAAGAGGGTCATATGTGGCGGGTGATGCTCACCTGGGCGCCAGTGGGCGAAAAGCGAAAATTCGTCAGAAAACCTCTTTTTTGGCCTCTGATTTTAACTCATTAGCAGGTAACAATTTAGAAAGTGGAGTTATGAACAACTTACCGCAACGTGTTTGATGGCACCAATGCCAAATCATGCTTTAATCGAAATGATCCATTTGCGCCACTGCTAGCCACGCAGCTCGTCCAAATCAACAAGTAAACCGGTGAGCGGATTGCTGTTGGGGGCGAGCGCTTTAAAAGTCCTGCTGCTCAGCAAATGGCTCACCTTTCGCGTGTAAGCGCCACACTTTTCATCCCTGGCAGCCAAATATTGCAAACATAATCGTTTGTTCGGCGCACTTCATATCGATGAACTCGGGGGGTGGGCGAACGATCGGTCCACTGTGCGCATCAATACCATTTTTAGGTACTGTGGTTCCGTGAGCCGATCATTGTTAAAAATGTCCCACGGCTGGTAAACACATGGTCGAAACCAATTATTATTGGACGTCATGCACACGCGGACCAGGTCTGTCGGTTTTTCTTTTCTTTGAGAAGGAGAATTAATGCTGAGTACAACATTTAGTACAAGGCCACTGATTTTGTTGTCCCGGGAGCTGGCAAATTGGAAATAAAGTTCGTACCTGCAGACGGTGGCGAAGAAATTAAACATGAAGTGTTTGATTTCAAGGGGCCAGGAGTATCGCTTTCAATGTATAACACTGATGAATCGATCAGGTACGAGAAGATTCAGAATAATACATGTTTTTTCTATTATCTGTGTGGACATTTATTAACATAGATAGATGGGACTTGCGTCATGGGGCTTGTGTGGCAAAAAATATGTTCAAAGGCTATGATCACGATGGCTGGTGGATGGTGCGGTTTTGATGACGCCGTTGAACTTGATTGGTGGAAAAGGTCGTGTGAACGCTCCCCTTCTGTAGTATGGACCCCTAGAGGACAATCACAAATGTGGCGTTCCCGTGCACGGAAACCAACCGACAAGAGCGCTTGGGCCTTGCAAAGTAAGCTGCTGAAGCTGCAGATTTTTTTCTCTTATCAGGCTGTTGTCTCTCTCATCTGTAGCGCTCTCTCGCCTCATACTCTCCTCTCCGCGCTTAGTCTCTCATTCCCTTAGCACAGCCGATTAGGAAGGTGAGTGAGCCCTTAACCTAAGCGTTTTTGACGGATTCTTTTCCTTTTTTTTTCTCTTTACTGTCTTCCCATATTCGCACCACTACATTCGCATTCGTGTGCAAGAGCCCACCAATGCGGGGTCAACCGTGACATTCGCACTTTTTCAAAATTTCGCGATCTCATCCTTCAAAAGCTCTCGATGCGACCCCTCACCACCACCATTAGACTTAGGAGGCTACCCTATAGGGATCCCCTTCCCCCTTCTCCGACCGTCACCCTTGCCTTCATGGCTGTTTCTATAATATTTGATTCTGAGATCTATCGACACTCTCCAACTCCGCCCACTTTTCCTTTTGAAACGCCGTCCAGGGGAACAGTCCAATGAAATGGCAAATTTTCTCTACCTCCACCTATTTTGCCTCACGCTGCGCGCCACAATAAATTATCAACCCCTTAACCCTTAGACTACGACTTTTTTAGAATCGAGTTATAAATGTGTTCTGCGTTGCAATTATCCCTCCCAGCAACAGGCAACCATCTGTAGAAATTTGGCTGATGTACGTTGGGTTTGACCTGGGATTTGATCTAGGGACCATGCGCGCGGTAGCGGCCCCTCTTGTCATTACACCATCTCCGCTCGATGAGCATTTTTGAAACATCAACTGGTAATTCAGTTACCATTCGACAAGTGCACACTCTCACATCTCATTCGTGGAATAAGCCAATGTCCTGGTTGGGAACGCACTTGAAAAGAATTGCAAGCCGCACTTTGTAGAAGTGCTGCTCCCCTGCCTACAGGCTGCGCCCACCGGCTGCTTCTCCTCTAACGAATTTTCGCTGGTTTTTATGCTCGAAAGCTGCGTCATCATAGGAGTGTTCTACTACCACTTCCGCATCAAACGAACTGACAAAACTCCGGAGGTTGGAATTTCCAACGCAGTCGTAGTAACGCTGCGTCGTCCTCTGACTGGCTTGCGGCCGATAAAATGCCTCCATCCGTCATCGGTTTGCTTACGTTTCACGTGATACAATAATTAAGGGAAACACTAGAACCATTAGCGCAAGGATGAAAGAGTGTGAGACTCAAAAATTACCTTTTTGGGA